CGGACTAGGTGCGTTCCTCTAAGTCTTCCTACCAATATGACCATATTGCGAAAACAAGGTCAAACAACCTTTACATATATTTTTTTAATACAGAAATCGGGACCAAGAGATTAGACATTTGATAAAAAAATAAGCTGGCTTATGTTACTAGGTTATTTATTTTGAAGGTAAAATTGAATTTTATGACTTGTTGGATAGTATTTTCTGAAACTTGGCTGGCCAATTTATGAATCCCTTTTACTCAACGTCCATTGTCATGAAAGTTATAGGGGATTCTTCCAGACCCAGCTTTGCTTCATATATTTTCAGTTGACCTTTTAATCGCTTCACAATATTATAGAATCGAATTAACTGTATTTCTGGCTTTCAACTTATTATGATTTATATCGGCTTTAGCTGAACCTTATATCATGATACCTTTGGTCTTGTCATATATGTTGTATTGCCTTCCTTAAATTGCCTTTAAATTTTGTTATCACATTTGCGATAGTTTATGTTTTTGATGGAGTTATGTGGACTGAAGCCTGCACGACCGCACTAGCCACTCCTGAGAAGACAGATTCGCTCCTCCAAGTGGGAAATGATGTCTTATTTTAACACTTATTATGAATAAAGTTGCAAATTGAATTTTGTTTTATCCTTACTGGTTGAATTTACTACCAAGTGGGAAATAGAGACAATTCTCTATTTTTAAATCTGTTTTGCTTATCTGAAGCAAAGTGCTAGGACTTTTTTAAGAGCTTCTTGCTTATCTTTGGTTATCTTATTGTTTTAAATATTATCATTCTAGTCCTTCAAAGCAATGCCACTTATCTTACAGTTGACCTGCATGTTATCCCACATCATTTAGATGCGTTCCTCTATTTGTTCATTGTGCATCATAGTGATTACTGTCTTTTATCACTTTTATTACAACTTTTTGGGCCTTATATCAGCGTCATTTTACCTACATTTTAAAATTGAAATTTACTTAAGGTTATCTAATATCTTGCCGAATGCCACAATTACTGAATTAATTTTGCTCCCTTCTTATCTCAACATTCCGTTTCTTTATGTTATATCCTTCGGAAACGTATTCCCTTATCATTCTACCTTTCTTTGGTGACCATCTGAATTTGAATGCAACCATAGGTTCTCAACTTGTGACTCCTATAGCTGGCCTCTAAATATTTGATGATCTGATATAAATTTGTGCACCTGATATTCCTTTGAGCAAATATACCCTTTTTATTAATTTACTATGATTTTTTTAAATTTTTCTGATGCCTAAACCGTTCTTTATTATTTGATGAAATACAAATACATTACATATAAATGCATCCTAAGCAACACCTTAATTATATCAGATACCTTTTTTATTACCTTCTTTATTTGTTCTAGCTGGGATTATACGAAATGAAGCCTGCCTGACTACACCAGCTTCTCCTGGAGAGACAGGTCTGCTCCGCCAAGCAGATGCCGACATTAAATTGGAGGCACCACAGGCCTCTGATGAATTAGCAACATCTTCATCTCATCCTGATCGGTTGTCAACTCCTAACATGAGCACGACTTCAGTACACTTAGCGTCTTGGATTGGAAGCCAGAAACGGCCTGATAGTCGAACTGCTCAGCTTGGCCTGAAACGGGAGCTGTCAGAAGATGGGGTGTTGGCTCGTAGCTCTGGAGTACTGTCCAAAGATTCCAATGGAGGCACTTGCGGTGGTATAATTGGCGATGATATCCTCGTTCAACCGCCCTCTAAACGACCGCGATCAGAGACAAATGACTCGCAGCTTCAGCAGCATAACATTTCTTTCGACTTGGATACACCTACGGGCCTAGTTAGCACTATTTTTTGCTTGTTTACCCCACGTTTTGCTTTCTAATCGGATTTTTAAATAGTTCTATACTAACAGCGATGAGAGCTTATCCTTAAAATGCTAATTTACGAAAATATGGTTCATGATATGTCTAAAAAATGGCTGATTTTATATGTTTAAAACTCGTAGATATTTTTAATTAATATTATTAGTTAATTTGTTCATTGCTCATTGTTAAAACCTTACTAATTAACAAGGTTACATGCTTTAATAGCAGATAAATTAATTAAAGGAAGCCTTGACCTTGCTATTTATGAGTCCTTTTTCTAAATCGTATTTCCAGTCTACTTATTATTTCTTGGATAAGAATCTTTGTTGAAAGCTTTCGTTATGATTA